ATTTTTTTTGTTAGGCCCAAGTTTGTTTTTGTTATAACCAGAAAAATAATCAAATAAAACAAAATGTGGGCCTGCGTATACGCTTAGAAACTCTGGGGTGAGAGGGAGAAAAAATAGACAAGCCTATGATGAGGAAGCCCAACGCGCTAGCCAGCAAAAAGAAACAAGGAAAAAATGTTGAGAAAAATAACAAAAGGCGTCCCTGGGGCTCGAACCCAGGACCCTTAGTACCAATACCTTACGCACGCTCCTCCTGCCACTTGGGTGGCTATTTCATCTGGTTATAAAACATATTGCAATAAATTTAAAATAAACCAAGTCCATGGCTGCACTTCATCTTCTTCCTCACGCCAGAAAACTTCAACAACATTGTTCAAATTTGTAACTTCTTCGTCTCTCAACCATTTGCAAAAATGTAAACATGAAACTTGCTCCAAATTTCATCACGAGTTCAGTCATATAAATAACCAAAGCTATAAATTAAATATGAGCATGAATTTTGAATGGTACCAAATCTGACCTAATTTTTCAGAAAGTTTAACTCTAAAATTCTCACTACTCAAGAAACATAAATGAATTCTAAGGACGTGGTCAGTTTCAGGGCTATGATGTCTACATTTTATCTTTGAAAATAGAAACCAAACAATGCCAATATGAAGAGTTCAAAAGTCAGAAACATACCTTAAAAATGGAAGTCGTGTTTTGAGTTTGAGCAGCTTTCAAGGTGTTGTAATGATCTGGTTAGCTTCCTTGAACCTCCGGGAAGCTAATGTAATGCTTAGCTTGAGCTGAGAGTGCCTGGAATGTTCTGGAGAAGTCAAGTTGCAGACCTCTGTTTTTGGTTATGAAAGATGAGGAAGATGGTGCTACAGTTGTGTTGCAGGTATTGGGATAACCATTATATGTGTATTGGAATCTTTGTAATTGATTAGAACTAAAAACGCACGAGTAGATTTTGTATTTGGATTTCAAATTCAGAAATGACAAGTTTTAGAACTTTTATTGCAATTTCTGATTTGAGAGAGAGTGAGGGAGCTTGAGGGCTTGTAAACCCGTGTCTTAGGTTGTAAATGACCTCTCTATTTATAGAGGAAAGGTTTGAGGGTTTGAAATAATCAGAAACAAGAAATCACATGTTATGATATTGAAACTTGTTTTTGAAGCAAAGTTGAAATTCATGGTTTCAAAGTGAAGTACAAGAGTTTGTAGGGTGGTTAACAGGTTATAGATATTTTTCTTCTTGATTTGAAATGCTTTGGAGTCAGAAGCAACAATGTATGGGATCAAGAAGGTTTGACATTGTGATTAAAGTCACTTTTCCAAAATTGAAGTGGTGACTTTGTGCCAAAAATGGAAAATCAACTTGGCCAAAACATCAAACACTTGGATAATGGCTCCAAAAGTTGTGTAATTAATTTATTATGGAGTGAAGCACAAGTTAGAAGCCTACAAAGCAAGATTATGCAGCATGGCTATCAGATTGGATCAAATGTTCATCAAGAAAATGACCTGTGATTCAAGAATGAATGTCCAACTTCTTGTCTTTGAAACTTCTAGCTCAAGCATGATCTTTTCAAGTTCTTTGACATTTTTGAAAGCTTGAAACATCCTATACAACCTTTATGTTGACCATTTGACAAAATCCTCTTGGAGCTTGGTGAAAATTGGCCAAGAAGTTAGGTAAAAAATCTGCTTAAACTAGGTCAAATTTTCACTAAGTGTTTTAGAAAAAGTGCATGGCTTTATGGGCTTATAACTCAAAATCTAAGAATTTTTTGGATATGAGTCCTCTAATACAAAGTTATAGATCTCATAAATATCTAAAACTTTCATGTTGAAAGTTTCTTTTGAATCATCTTGCATCTTAGTGAAAAATTGGCATGAAGTAGTGAAATTACCATATATAAAAACACTTAAGAAATATTTCTAAGTCTTGAAAAGTTTGACTTTTCAAATTGACTTTTGAATTTCTTGATTTCTTGATGATAAAGCTTCATATTTTTGAATTTCTTGATGAATTGTGATCTTTGAAATCAAACCTTGATCAAAAAGTCAAAGTTTGACTTTTTATGCATCAGTTGACTTTTCATCAGTTGACCCAAAATTCAACTACCAAATTATCGAGAGACAAGGTTCAGTTGATAAGCAATTAAGCTAAGTTGATTCTTCGAACTCTTGAATCTCAGAGACATGATTCTAGGTCAAAGAAATGACTCCCAAATAGCTACATATTCATCCATATAGTCATCTTCGTCAGACGAAGGGTATGGTCGAATAAACCATTCCGGGCCAACCTTTCTACTAGCAAAGGGAGCCATGGTCGAAACAAATTCCTTCCGCTTTGAAAACATCCTTACAAAGTTGGTGAACGCCTTTTGGAATTGTTGACCTTCGTCATTTGGATTCAACAAGACGAGTCTAGTCCCTTCGACCCTTCTATTCAGGACTTCTGGAGCCCTCTCGTTAATCTTATTCTTCTGCGGAAGAAAAGATTCAAAAGTGGCGTTTAGCCAAAGTTGCAGAAGCCAAAAGGGTTCGGAAAGAAGTAAGCTCGCCTTATCCCCAATAACCTTAAGTTGAGTCACACCATTGCTGATGGACTCATACAGGTTGACTAGAATCAACTCATCCAGACAAAGAGGATAACCATGGTGAAGCTGTGTTGCAAGAGTAAGCATTTTCTTAGTCACTTGAAGTGACTTAGTGCAAAAAAACAAAATGAGATAACCACAAAGCCAGAAAAAGCTATGTGATCCACTTCAGAGACAGTTGTACTCGATTTGTCGTGGAAATGATTGATGAATATGGTATACATGGGCTTCGTGGCCGAAAACCCGATGGGATCTTCATACAGATCCTCAAGATCGAAGTAGTCACCCGTTGGTCGAAGACCACTAATGACAGCTATATCGAAGAGAGTTGGAGTTACCATTCCACAAGGCAAATGGAAGGTAAAATGGGTGCTATCCCAAAAATACAGTGAAGCCACCAACATGAGAGGGCAATAAGCTAGTCTAGTCTTCGACAACATGATCAAGTCATAGATCCCCATATCTTTCCAAATTTGGACTTGTACTTGTTCCATCTTACTCAGCCATTCAGAGTATTCTGAAGTAAGACTAGGACAAGATTGAAAGATTCTATTGCCCTTGTTCATGAACTGAAGGTTGATATCTTCCTTCGTTTGAGGATATTGCTGGTTGGCAGGAGTTACATCTTCAGGATCATTCCTGAGTTTCTTCGCACAACCTATAGGCTTGAGCCTAGGGTGAGTTGGGAAGAAGTTGCTATTCTGTTTTGGGTTCTCGAAACATGAAGACAATGGACCAGACATAGCATACATTTCCCCAAAATACCTAACAGGGATAAGCAACTGGGAGTCATAAGCATTACGCCACTCTTTGGCCATGGGTTCAGATACGACCCTTCGTTCCCCAGTCGAAACAGGTACAAGGTTAGTAGAGAAAACCTCTGGTTGTCTTTGAAGATTAGAAACGTTCTTAGTTTTTGGATTGTTGAATGCATTGGAAAGGAAGGCCATGGCTGAAAGTAGTAGTGAAAGAGCGAAGAAGACAAAGTTGTTAAGGTTTTTTTTCTTTGCAAGGAAGTGAAGAATACTAGGAGTTGTAAAAGAATTCTCAAAAGAAGATTCGTCTATTTATAGTGTTCAGCAAGGAGTGTTTTTTCCAAGACCATTTAATTCTGCAGAGTTAATGGGGCACGTGGCGAACGTTAAAGCAGTTATCGTACGAGAAATGAAAACGTTTGCCATACTTTCCTAGGTTGTAGGGATAATGGCCATCATGACAGCATGGTAACGGCTGATTGACAGCGACGTGTTGAGAAAAGGTAATGATGACTCTGAATATCAATAGGGGTTGGTAGAAGGCGAAAAGCACACAAGCGATTTCTGTGATAAAAAAGAAATACGGATGTCGAATAGAAATCTCAAAGAATAATCATCTCTCCTTACGTCGAAACTGATATTCTTAGGGAGTAATTAGAAATATTATAACTCTATGATCCCTTTCTTTATATTGAAGTGACTTCATAACTCTATTTTTTTTCATTCTTTTCATTTAACACAGTAATATCATTGAGGATCGTCTTAATAAGACCACTGAATGTAATGCTTTGTATTTTATACAATTAACATGCATATTATGAGCTATTGAAAAATATAATTTTTTCACTAGAGTATTTTATATACTTGTTAGCCACAACAATTTTTCATGACTTAAGATGAGACTATATTCATTGAATATGTCAAGGCGGTTATCAACTATATGTTCGAGTATTTACAACAGTGAAAAATTGGATGAAAGCTAAATTGGAGATTAGGATTTTATAATTGGGGAAGAATGTGTTTTAATAAACTCTAGTAAATTGATATTATTAGTAAAATATGTTACTATTAATATTATTAATAAAAGAGCTAAAAAATACTCTACCATTGTAAAACAATATTACACACATACAATCAAAATCTTTAAATATGTGATTTGGCAGAATACACATTCTTTATTGATTGAAACATAAAAATATTTTATATTATCAATATATATTATTTTTCATCTAAAATAAATTATTTTTAACAAATAACATAATTCTAAATATTAAAAAATGACTCGAAATAAAATTTGATAATCTATAACTAACAATAGATATTATCTCGCCCAATATCGTAGTGATCTCAGGACTAAATTCCAATTCGGCGCATTGACCAAACACACGGTGGCCGGAAAACGAAGACGGCGAAGATTTAATCGTCAACCGTTCAGGTTTTAAAAAAATTGTTCCAATTTTCGTTCGCTTCTCCTATAGCGCGATTCACATTGCAACAAGCTCCGGTTTGTGTGTCTGCACTTTATACTTTGATATTATTCACGGCACTCTGAAACCTAACCTCACTAGCAATGCATGACTCAGTTCATTTTATTTGTTCTGTGTTTTGAATAGCAGATTATAGTTCCGCCTTGGATTTTAATTGAAAGGATTCGATGGATACTGAATTCGAAACACTCGAGGGACGATTAACATTGATGCTTCCGCAGCTGCAATGTGAGTGTGGTATCCTTGAAAGATTGGTATACAAGAATAAGAATCAGCATCGCCGCTGTTCCTATTTCCACCATCTTTTGAAGGTATGCGCACTGTAATTGGAATTGTGTGGAAATTTGTGGTTACAATTGCTTTTACATGCATCTGATGTGTTTTTACGGGTTATTGTGGATTTTGGGGATATTATTAGGTCAGGAGGGATTTGAGGCTTCTGCGGTTGGTGAACTTGGAGGAGCTTGTAACATCATGTTTCAATGTTATCAAAGATGATAGACCAAAACAGAAAATTCATCTTCTAGAGAGGTAGGTTTATATCATTTCTTTCAGCTTTTTTTTCTTCTTCGATTTTTTCCTAATTTTACGTGCAAAGATTCAATTTAGGTGTATTAAATCAAGATAACCGAGGGGGTGACATGAACTATAGTCTTACGAGAGATGGCTCAGTCTCTTGCATGATTAAACAAATAGCAATGTTGCTTGTTTCTTTCCCTTCATTTTGTTATTTGCCTCTTAAGAATGTGTTTTTGCTGAATTTTCTCCATCAATATGGGTTATTATAGGTCTGTTCTTGTTGGTTTGGTTATAATATTTGTTTCGTGACAGTTTGAAAAGGAGAAAATATAATGATGAGAAGCTGAATTTTTTGGAGCGTCTTTTAGGATCTGCACGACTACTAGAAGAGGTGAAATTGCAGCTAAATATTATTAAGTTATTCTCTTTCTGTTTTCGATTCTTAATAATAATGTATTGAGATCATCGTGTTTCTACTATGCTGGTTCATTATGTGCTTCCTTTTTCCATGCACAGAGTATGACTATGAGTATTCAACACGTTATATGTTGATAAAGGCGTGCGTATAATGGGGTGCTCAACTGTTTGGGGAACCCTCCCTTGACACGGGACTTGAACACCTCATAATACCCAAGTCCCTATCAAATGCTAATTGGGATTTTCCCCTTCTGTGCAACCATAGATTTAACATTAGATTGCTTATTTCTTCCAGATTCCTTTCTCTTATGTCAATCGATGTTTTGTTTTTTTTTCTCGTGCAGATGGTTGAACCAATGCTGAAGGCTGCAACGTATCCTTCTTCATGTCATCTATTTGTATTGCGTGGTTTCTATTATAATGATATATTCATTTATACTATATGCTTGGGGTTAGTTGATTGACAAAAGTTTGATCATGGTATAATAAAAAATGTAAATCTTTCGCATTTATTTCATGATATAATTAGGTGCCAAAATTTGGTTTCTGAAGCATTTTCCAAATTTGTTTGGCTATAGTTGTCTACTATGATATATTCTAGTTTTTAGTCATCGAGTCACATTTTTTCTGTTTATTTTGGTTAGAAATTGTTACCATTGTCAGCTCTAGTATCATTTAGTGCATGCTTCTTGAACATCTTTTTTGAATAATCTGTTAAGATTTCCATATAAAATTTCTTTCCTTGACTATTCAACAGTGAGATATCTGTTTTGTTTGCCCGATCCTTTTTTATGGGACTTTCTGTGACAATTATGGCTTTGCTAGCGCGTCTACGTGTTTTGGTTCAACAAGTAAGTCTCCCATGTTTTATGTATTATAATTTAATTTAATCATGGTTCCATAGTTAAATTGTAAGTTGTTTAATGTGGAACACTGATGCTGAGATTATGAGTAATTTACTATTACGGTCAGAATAGAGCAATGCAACAGTTTAATACTCAATGGAATAACAGCTCAATTTATAGCAGACTGATTGGTAAAAACAAGTACAACTGAGTTATTTTATGAAAAAAAAAACTGCAGAAAAAGTACAATTGAAATACTGAGCTATGATGAGGCAATCTGGGCAGAGAAGGAATCTAAGGGAAGAATGTAGAAGACTCAATCATTGCCTGCCTTTCTCTTCCTACAATCCTCTATTTAAGCATAAAATCTTTCAACAACCTGTTAGGTACCTTGAGCCTCCTACTCGTTCTTCTCTCCTGATTATCAGGATCATTTGCCACCTGTCCTTCGATCATAACAACTTTTGTTTCCTCTTGCCAAATACCTGTGTTACCCTTTGCATACGTCACATTACTTCCCTCATTGACAACAACCTTGCCCTCAAGGTTGAGTGTTGGATAATTTGTCTGTAACACTGACCAGTCCTCCCATTTCGTTTCAGCTTCAGTGAGGCCTTCCCATTGGGCCAATGCTTGTTGAACCTGCTATCCATTACTAGGGAGAGAGAGTGGATCTGTAGGATAGCTTTTGGAAGAAGCAAAGGTCCATGATGTGTTTTGCAGTATAGGTGATGGCAAATAGGGAACAAACTGATCACTCACACATGGTTTTAGGCTTTTAGCACTGATACATGAAACACAGGATGTATTTTTGCACCGGAAGGTAATTGCAGCTTATACGTGACTGTGCCAATACGTTTAACATGGGAAAAGGACCAGAAAATTTGAGACCCAGCTTCTGATTCTTACGCAGGCTCACCGAGTGTTGTTGGTAAGGTTGGAGCTTAACCAACGCCAAATCTCCAACCTTAAATTCCTGAAAGTTCATAGCGAGTGATAGTAGGAGGATCTCGCCCATACACCGCTTTGAAGGTGTCATAGCAGTGCTACCTATAAAGTACAAACAATATGACTTGATACTGTAAAGTTAAAGGATCTGTGCTATTAAAGAAGTTATGTTATATTTTTGTGATTGTGCATTTTTCTTGAGGTTATTTGTAAATTAACTATTAACTATAAAGTACAAGTGATACTATAATATGATACTGTAAAATTGAAGAATTTGTGCTATTAAAGAGGATATACTATATTTCTCCGTGATTGTGCATTTATCTTGAGTGAGCTTTTTTGTGTCCTTGTGCAGATATTACTTGATGTTGTTTATTTGTTCAACATGGTTTCTTCCCTGTCCAAAAAGAAGCAATCAGTAAAAATAACTCATAACGGAATAGAGGTTAGTTTGAAATTGGTGTACCACTAAATTCTCTGCCATTTATACTTATGCATAGACATGAGTATGTATCGAAAATAATAATTTACATGCTAATCTATTCTTTCTTCATCTGTTCTGATGTTTACTACTGAATCAGGTTTTTAGAGAGTTCTATCCTGTTAGTGATGACGATGATTGTGTTACGTTAGAATGTGTCTGGAATTCAGATAAGTATATACTACATGAGAGGAAGCATAAAAGGGAGAATGAAAGTCAATGTGATGAGGATTCTGGTGGAAATCTTTCTGTTCAAACATCAGGTGTCAACTACAACACTATCGAGTCTATTCTTGGGGGTAAGAACCATGGTGTGCTCATTTCTGCGATTCTGTAACCACTTGGTGTACTTTATTTGTATAATGAATTTACTTATTCTGTGCCTTGTTCACTTGTTTACGATTAATTGTTTTATGATAAATGTCTTGTTAACATTGTTTTATGATAAATGTCTTGTTAACATTGTTTTATAATAAATGTCTTGTTTCATAATTAATTGTTCAATAGGTTTAATGAGTTGAGAGTTTAGAATCTGAAAACTGATTTTGTTATTCTGATTCTGAATGAAGTGTAACATTTTTGTTATCAATAGCTGAATATCTAGAAGCTGCTTATTTGTTTTGCTAGTCAGCAGAATGCTTGCCAACTGTAACTGCTAGTTCCGAACAGAATTAACCAACAGGAGTTGAGATTGAATCCACATAATTTCTGATGCAACAATACTTGATTCCTGTACTTGCTTCTGTACTAGAGTGAGACAAAGGTTTTATGGCATGTATGTGTAACACATACACACATGTTAATCAAACTCATAATGTATATACATATATGAATTTATATGCACATATAGATGAGTTGTAAATTTTGTATAATCTTACAATCGGTGTTACGTTTTCATATTTTACGATATTACTTCCCCTTTCAGATTGTGTAAAATCAGAATTTTAATTGTAGTTCGTGAGTTAACTAGTTAACAGATAATAGGAAGCTCTGATAATGCTGAGCAGCTTTTGAATTTTTTTAGAAGTCACAATTCAAGTATTCTAACACTGTCTCTCTCCTTTGGTGGTTACATTCATAATCATATGTCGAAAGTTGTATAGTAATACTTTGATGTGATTAAACATATGGTAAATTGTTATGTGCAGATGACCAACTTGAGCCTGAGAGAGGTGAAGCTGATACTGCAGCTGGAGAGGATCCGCCTCACGTCAAGGATATAAATACAGATTCATTGACAAGCTCGATGCAAATTGATGATGTTAAGGAGATGACTGTGTTTAGTAGTGAGGAAGGAGGGGAAAATTCGACCACAAAAGCCCTTATCTGCGAATCTTCACCGGAGGGTGATTTGCATGCATTACCGAAGTCTTCAACGAGTGGCAAACTTCAATCTTGTTCAAAGAAGGTGGCATTTATGTCAATAAAGAATCCTACATTAGCATCCCAAAGTGTGCAAAGTAGTGTTTCTATGTTAACTAGCAATGCCAAGGCATTCCATTTCATGGGAAATGAAAGTGATCAAACAAAAGATGACAAACCACACTCACTTGCTAGTATATTTACTGATGTAAATGCAAAGGATAGTCTTTTTTAAGGCCAATATTTTCAAGTACAAGACAATGCAATACTTTCTTTATCTGTGATGAAAACTTTGTCTGGCAGAAGTTTTCTTTTTTACATCATATCCAATAGAGCAAATCACCATTTTGCCTCTTGAAATTGTAGGGGCACTTGCCCCTTATAATTTACAAATAGGCAAAAGAAAAATCATGATTTTGAATTACTTTGGACAACCTGATTTTTTTGTTAACTTGTATTTAGTTTACTTTTAAATTAGTCTCTAAAATAATATCATTTACTTGCTAATTAGTTCTTGAGTTATGCTTCCTCCGGTCACTATCATAAGCAACGACACTATTATAAGCAAAGATTGATTTTTAGATTAATTAAATAATTGTTAAATACATAACAGTGAATCTAAAATACGTAAATCATTGCATATAATAGTGACCATAGAGAGTCACTAAGTCTCAGATTAATCTTTACTTTTTCAAGTTAACAGAAAAAGACCACATTATGTAACTTCAATCAAAATTAGAGTCTTTTATGATTCACACATTTTAGAAGGGTAAATGTCCCACTCTTTCAATTTCAGAGAGAAAAATCATGAGTTATGAATGTTATCTGTTTAGAGTGATCACCGACAATTCAAAGGCCAAAAACATGTGAAATAACATTTCAAAAGATATCATAATGTAATCAACTATGTAGCTCAACTGTGATAAAATGGGAACAAACTAATCATGCTCTCTTGCACTGAAAAATCAAGAATCAAATCTTTAACTTCAAACTAATCATGCTTTTTGCACTGAAAAATTAAGAATGAAATCTTTAACTTCAGCATTAGCCCTATCCAACGCCGTTCTTCCATCTGCATCTTTCACGTCATATTTTGCTCCCGCTTTCAAGAGTTCCTCAATTTTCGGCAGGTCGCCTTCTGTTGAAGCTAACAACAGTAAGATGTCCACAGGGTGAATGTTTTGGCCTAGCAGAGCCTCCATTTTATCGTATGTTCCCTCTACGGCGAGCATCCCCATATAGTTGAAGTACTGCAAAAGATTATAATGTAACATCAGAACACATTTCATCACATTGCATATTCACTCCTAAACTAGATTTTCACGTTATAATGCCTAATGACAGTGAATAAGTTTTGATTTTGAGAAGAAAACTAATTCATTTAGATAGGGTATCAAAGAAGGTACACAAACACCCATTAGTAAATTGATTTCAGAGCCGTCTTAAATTTTTCGAAGGCACATGTGGGTTAAATCGTCATGGTTCAATCGTGACAAAAACATGTAGGTTAATCGTCATGGTTCAACCGTGACAAACCTATTATGAGGCTCTATTTAGCCACAATTTAACTATAATAAGTTTGAGGTCTTGTGTTATAGTCGATCTTACACACCCTCAAAGACGACCCATATTAATGCCGAAGCATTATCCTCCATATATAGTTACATAAGTCCAAACAAATTCCTAACAAACTAACATCATTCATTCTCATTCCTTACTAGTTACTATAAACTCCTATTGAAAGAACAAAACAAACAACAATAACTACTATCTATGCTAGAATCAAAAGCAAAACTATGACATACTTGCATGCACAAATTTTCCACTTTACCAAACAGTAAAGTTTTTAGTTTTAGTTACCAATTACCTGTTCAACATCATCTCTATCAAAATCATCACGAGACTGACTACCATAAATCCCAGCACCTTCAGCATCAACACCATTCTTACCAAATCTGAACCAGCATGTGAATCTTGAACCATTGGAGGGTCCAATTTTAGAGGTGATGCTTGAGCTTGACCATCCATGTTTCTTAACTCTGACGCCAAGAAACCGAGAAGAAACTGAGATTTTCGAAGTGATTATAGATTTGGAATTTGAAATGATGGGTTGGTGAGTGATGCATGTGATTGAAGCCATTGTTGTGTTGTGTTGAGTTCAACAACAAAAGTTGTTTCGGTTTTTATGTATGTATGTTTGTTTTATCGGAGGGAATCCCGTTTCATGTTCTATCCATCCACATGTCTGAAATTGAAACGTATATAAGGAAATGATTCACTGCTTCTCATCCATTCCATGTATCTACACCCGCATACTTTTGGCCGTTCATCTTATCATTGATGGGAAACACCAGACTTTCATATGGATCAATTCATTGAGATGCTTTCAAGCTCTCTTATTTTGTGTCTTGTTTATGCACTTTTTAAAATCTCTGATTTTGTATATAAAACCTAAAATTATTTTTAAAATATGGTATTTATGTGTTTCACTTAACAAAATTTTAATTAATTTCAAAATTGAATTGACAAATTGAAAATTAATCATCTCAATAGTACTCTACAAATATAGGAGATGATGATAATTTATAAATTATATTGAAGATTTACAATATGTACTACACAAGTGCTTCGCATAATATGATATTTACTTTTGATTTTTTTATTAATTATCTCAAGAACTTAAATATTTATTGTAATAAATTTGAATATATTCATTTTTAAATTATTGGTCTAAAATTAAAAAAAAAATTAACACTATTAAAATTTCAAAAAATATTATAATTTAACGGAATTTTCGAAATCAATAGTGTAATTTTTTTTGTCGAATATAAATTACTGGAGTTTACAAAAAATATGAATTTTTTTTCGGAATTTTCAAAAAATTCAAGTAAATAATATAAAGTGTCTCAATGCTCTCACTTATAAAATGTTAAATCTTCTATTTTCTAATATAAAGTTATTTTGAAGAAGTAGTCGTTTGAAGACTTCTTTCTTATAAAATGTTTTGAAGATCGTCTCAATGCCATTGAGATCCAGAGAGTTCCTGGGTTAGATATTGAAGAGCTAAGGGGTTGTTATCCTTCACAAGTTCAAGGTCCCCGTCTTTGCCAAATATGATGGTGTGTCATGTCCTAAACTTCATTTGATGTCTTATGTTCAGAAGATCCAACTCCATACTGCTGATAGAAAATTATGAGTGCATCTCTTTCAAGAAAGCTTGTCGGGGACAGAATTAGAATAGTTCTATCAACTGGAAGGAACCAACATTCACACTTGGGAAGACTTGGCCGCTGCCTTCTACAAACAATACCAGTATAATACTGATCTTGCACCAACATGCATGCAATTACAGAGTATATCTATGGGTTCTGATAAAAACTTCAAAGAGTACGTCCAGAAATGGAGAGACCTTGCAGGAAGGGTTCAACCTCCTTTAGCTGAAAGGGAATTGGTTGGCATGTTCATGAGCACGCTGAGAGGTTCTTTTTATAACCACCTACTTGGAAGTTCTTTAACAGGTTTCACTAAACTGATATTGACAGGGGAACGTGTTGAGAATAGAATCACAAGTGGTAAAATTCAAGTGGCTACATCTTCCGATACTCAGAAGAAGCCATACAATAGGAAGAAAGAGTCTAATGTTGTGTATGGCCAGAAGGATTGTAATAAGAGTAACCACAACCAATCTGCGGGGGCAGCTCAGATCTCTAATCCTGCACCAGTGCGAAAATAATAACAGGGTAATCAGCGAAGGCAAGATGAGCCCAAGAGACAATTTACCAAATTCAACATGCCACTGTCTCAAGCATTGCAACACATGTTGAGGATGAATTTGATTACGTTGATAGAATCTCATCCAAACCCCAAAACTTCTTCTCCTAACTACAATCCCGATGCAAGGTGTGCCTATCATTCCAACAGTCTTGGACATGATACTAATGATTGTTGGGCGCTGAAATACAAGATTCAAAATATGATTTACGCCAAAGAGATTGAATTCAATCCTCCTGAGACTCCCAACATGATCACTACTCCCATGCCGAATCATAATTAGGATCAGATTAATGTTGTGGAAGATGTCGATAGCAGCAGCGACCTGAATAACTAGATTTCCCCTACTGCCAACGATGAAAGCTTCTTCATTCGAATTTTTATTTGTAATTTCTTTGTTTGTTCAAACAATTACTGTCATGTCAAACTTTGGTTTTCCCATTAATGCATTGCACATGTTTGTCTTGAATTAATTCATTTTCATTTAAACTGCTTTCTTACTTTGTTTTGTGATATTCTACTCTCGATTAAAAGCTATAAGCCTTTAGAGGGAGGATGACAAAAACGATACCATAATATCTACAATATACTTTTGAACAGACCTTGCTGACGATGTACAAACGTTGTTTTAAATCCTAAACATTGGAGTTGTTAGTTCTCTTGTTTTAGGATTGGCTTAATTTTTGTAAAACAAATAATAGCAGCAATAATGTAATGTAGAATAAGATGTATAAACTTGCTTAGAAGAACAGGTACAACAAGAAGTCCTATTACAATGTCAGAACATGTTGTGTTAAACTTTTTCAACACCTGGAATAACATGTCAAAGAAGATGTCTTGACATCGCGCCTGCTGAGCTGGATTAATGAGATTCAGTTTGTTCTTAACATAAGCAGAATATTCAGGAGAATTTTATGCATCCTATGTGGCACATATTTAAAGGTCCAGAAAATTCAATCAAAAATCAAGGAGAATGAAGACTTTCTAAATAAGGAGATTATTTAGGAAAGTAAAGATTGAAGACCTTTCTTGGGGCAGAAGTTTTTGCAGTTTATTACAGCTGATTTGCTGTGATTGAAAGCCCAAAACCAGTTGGGTAACAGGTTATAAGTAGAACGGTTTGTAACCCAGAAAAGACACGGATCAAGATGTAGAAGTATAGGGTTTATCAAGGTAAACCTCCCAGGTTGTGGAAAGGTTACCAAGTTCACCTCAAAGCCTATAGGTAAGAGGTGCATTGTTCTTGGAGGAAGCTTTGAAGCAACTCCAGGATGTGTTAGGAGCAAAGCTAACAAACATTAGAGTTTGGCTTATAGACTTATATAGATTTTCATGGAAGTATGTCTTCAAAGTTATTTATCTGTGTGATCAGAATCTTGGTGAAGGGCCGTCTATATAGTGACTGAGATGTTGACTGCTAGACATCATTGTGATCATTAGAAGTGGGATGGAGATATTCCATAT